GTTTTATCTAGAAATGAGAGAACATGGATGATCTTGTTTTGACACTACATTTGCCTTTTTTTTTTTTTGGTTTACGAGACAGGGTTTCCCTGTATTGTTTTGGAGGCTGTTGGTCCAGCCCGGCCTTGAACTCACAGAGATCCGCCTGCCTCTGCCTCCCGAGTGCTGGGATTAAAGGCGTGCGCCACCACCGCCCGGTTTACATTTGCCATTTTTGTTTCACGAAACAAAAGCTAATCTGGATGTGATCAGGACTAAAAAGAAGCCATGGGTTCAACATACATGAATTTTTACTACATCAACTGCAAATAGTGAGGAAAAAGTAATAGCCATTATTTACAACTACTTATTAGCTCACTGAGAAATTTAAAATGTAAAAAGAATGTGGGGCAGTATTGGTACACGCCTTTAATCCCAGCATCCAGGAGGCAGGGATAAGAAGATCTCTGAGTTCGAGCCTAGCCTGATCTACACAGTGAGTTCCAGGACAGTCAGTGATGCTGTTACAAAAAGAAACCCTGTACTGAAAAAACAAAAATAAATACAGTAGTGAAACCAAATCTTTACAATAAAATAAAACGCAAAAGGAAAGATGGCTCAGCAACTAAGTACACCTGCTGCTCTTGCAGAGGACGTGGCTTCAGTCTCCAGCACCAATAGCGGCTCATAACCATCCCTCACTGCAGTCCAGGGTTGATACCGCTTTTGACTTGCAGTCAATAAATCCATGTGATGCACACACACATGAAGGCACAATCTTCACACAGATTAAAAACTGAAAACATTCACTTCAAATGTAAGAAGATCATATGAAATTATACAGGGCAATAATACTATGTGAACATTTGGCTTGATACTAATACTATGTGAACATATGGCTTGATACTAATTTTTATATACAGTTGCAAACATGCATACAAGTGTCTACATTCAGACCTACATGTGAAAGCTGGTATTCCTTCTTCAACAGCTTTTTCTTTGTTTTTCTTGTCATTTGTTATAAGGATAACTTGTAGCTGGTTTTCTGCTGACAGTTTCTTCAAATGTTCATTGTACCATTTTGCTGCTACTCGAATGGCTCTATCATTTCTGTCATTAGCATTTTCTCCCTGTTCTTGTTCTATGTAGGTTTCTCTAAATGTAAAAAAAAAAAGAGGGGGGGGGACCACAAAATAAAAGTTAACCAGCAGAAACAAAGATGTGTAAAAACTTCTGAGAAACAATGTTTGACAGCCACTAAAATGAAAAGTCACTTTAATTTATATGGTGAAAACAATTATGTTAAGATCTTTTAATGTTTTTTCAAGACAACTTTCTTGTGAATTTTGAAATCTATGTTATAAATGGCTCAAACAGCTTCATTTCATAAAAAGAAGACATTAGACCAGAATTTAGACTTCAAACTGGGATGTTAACATTTACTGGGTGGGAGGGATTAATACAACTTTGGAGACCAGATACTAAAACTTTACTCAACAAATCATGGATAAACAGTCAACTACTAAGCTCTACAGTGTGATTGTCACACTGTATGCTCATGTGATTCAATGGTCTTTCAATACATGATTCATGGTATTTACATGGTAAACACTAAATACTGCACAGACTATGTAGACACTACAAGGCCACAACTCTCAAATATGGAAGTACACTTACACACTTCTTTAAGTCAGTTCTTCAAAGCCTTATTCTTAGCATTACTTTATTTCTAACCTTAACTATTCCCTAATGCTTCCAGGGGTGTCCACCCTTTTGACACTGTAACTTAATTCTGTGTATCTACAAATGTGTTGGGCCACATTTGTAACTATTCTGGTGCACTGGGGTCTCTGGTTACAAACTTGACAAACCTAAGCTTATCAGTAAAAGCCATGGTCATAAAACTTAAACTTGGTTTTAAGTGACATGAGATTTGCATAGTGTCCTAAAAGTCTTCCAATTAGTCCCTGTACTGCCACATCCTACTCAAAGTACTTGAAGTAGAAAACCTACTAAGCATGCATTAGGAATCTGATGAACATGTTCCATACAATCTTGGTTTTCTGGTACTAGGAAACAAGAGTTACATGTTTCTGGAGTTTAAGGAGGTGCAATGAATGAGAAGCCCGTAGGCACTTGTGTGTGTGTGTGTGTGTGTGTGTGTGTGTGTTGTGTGTGTGTGTTTAGGCAATACTTTAAGTTTGAAGATAAAAGAAAGGACTATACCTGGCAAAGTAGGGAAACCTTTTGGATTATTAAACATGTGACTAATAGGAGAATTTTTACACACTTAGCATAGACCAAAGGCTCTGCTAAACACTATATTCTATAAAATCTCACACAACAAAAAACTACTCAGTTCAAAATGTTATTAATGTCAAGGTTGAGAAACTGACTTTATGATCAGTGATACCCACTGTAATTATTTATGAATACAGGGGAAAAGGGACCAGCCAAAGAAACACATCCTGAGCAGAGCCAAAGAAACACACTTTGGTCCTGCAACCAGAACCAAAGAAATGCACCCTGACCCTGAAACCAATGCCAAAGAAACACACTTTGGCCCTAAACTTGGAGGCAATGAAAGAAATACACATTGGCCTTAAAATTTAGAGTCAAAAGGTTAAAAAGGACCAGTGAAAGAAACACACTTTTGCATTGAAACCAGAGCCAAATCTGACCCTGAACCTGAGAAGAAAACCAATCCCTGAGCATGACATCTTGTCAATCTGAGCTCAGGGATTGAAATCTAACCAGGTTCCATCCTGGAAATTTCCCTGGAAAAACTGTCCCTAAGAAGGCCTATATAAACCCTGTGCCTGTTCAGCTTGTGGTTTCCTGCTGTCTGGCTGTCGACAGCCACTCTCCTGGATTCTTCCCTCCCAATAAATATCTTGAGTGAGGTTTGGGTGAGACCTTCCTTCACTGGAATCCAGTGGAGGAGAGAAGTAACAAGTTTTCCCCAGAGCGAGCAGACAAGACAAGAATGGAGCTCGGCTGTAACACTTTCCCTGTGGAAACCTTCCTCTAGAGAAGTTGCTACACTACACTTCCTAGCGGAACTGTATGTAACAACTTGCTGGGGAAAACCTCCCCTAGCAAAGTGGAGTGGTTACAGTAACAACTTTGCTGGGGAAACACTCCCTTGCCCGGAACAGAGCTGTTATACTGGGGAAACCTTTCCCTCCAGCAGGGCTATCAGCTGCTATGCTTACTGTGATCTGTCATATTTCTTGGCTCCTGATTGCCAGAATACTTTTCCATCCCAGTTTTAACACTTAGTATTCTGTGGCTCTCGAGTACCAAAATCCCTGTCCATCTGAGTCACCACAGTGCTTACAATAATAGGCAATCCCATATGTTTTGAGAGCACACATTTAGTTCAAAGGTCATAAGGCCAAATTATAATGAACTGTCTTTACAAATCCAATTTCAATAAATCAGCTATTAAGACATTAGTTTGAACTTTAAAGCTCATTAACCATAAATTCAAATTTTAAAAATCTTTTTCACAAGTGTGTGGAAAAACACTATTCACACACTATAGCATTGCAGGAGTCTAAACGATTCCCATCTCCAAAGACTCTATCATTCAACTCAATATACACAGTATATTCTGACATAAAAGTACTATGATAGCCAGTAGACCCCAGTTTAAGGTGTGTCCTCACTAATACTGTGAGTTCACTTGGACCCCACTTAGCAATGTCTCCCTCAAAGCTAAGAAACTACCAAACAGCTCACGAGACTACAGACTGTCTTTGATCAATGACTCCCAGGCACTTCCTTTGACATTTCCGTAACCCTTGGGTCTTAGGATACTTACTTATGGTGCTCATTAGTGAATGTGTAGAAATGCTTCTCCTGGTTATTCGTCACATCCCTGATGCGCTTATATATGGGGGCACTCCGGTTTCTCACTTCCTGCAGGACTGTCTGCAGCACAATTACATTCCTGATAGCAGGGTCCTCCAGAACGTCAATCTTGAAAACAAAAAGCAAAGAGCTAACTTTCCCCCGTGTTCACTCAGACACTGCTTCTGTCAAGCCTAAAATCCTGTTACAGTTTAACACACTGACTCTCCATGAGGCCAAAGTGCTATTTTGCTGTAGAAAAAAAGTGACAACAGTCACCCGGCCGTGTAGGCTTGAGGAGAGCACCCGTAAACGGACCACCAAGGTTTGCAGGATTAAAGCAATTAATAAGCGAATATGCTGGCCCACACAGTTTTTTGTTCGTAGGCACTTACAAGCTGCCTGGGGGTCGCAATCTGGAGGCGACAGAAGCCCGGGTCCCCGGCTTCCAGGCACTTATAATCTAAAGTAGAAGAGACACCAGGAGTTAGAAAATTAACGTGTCTAAAACTACGACTCCAAGAACCGAAAGAAAAAAAATGGAAATAAATAGAACAGCGTTATGGAAAAGGACCTCGGCCTGGGTTACCTGGCAGCGAGGGTGGCCGTGGTCCCTGCGTCTCCATCCCCAGACCCGCCCCCCTCCGCTCCCCTCCGCGCCACGCCCCCCGGTCGCACGCGGCCCGCGCGCCCCCGTACCTGGTGCAGCAGCACGTTGGTGTCCGGCAGCAGGTAGTGCGGCCACGGGCAGAGGCTGCTCGCCTGGTCCCGGGGCTGCGTCTCCAGGGCCGGGCCCGCGTGCGCCCCGTCGCAGGCCGCGCAGGCCGGGGCCCCGCAGCCGATGTCATCCCGCAGGTAGTGCTCGCGCACGATCTTCACCACGCCGCCCGCGCGGGTCTTCTTCAAGAACGTTTTGGACTTGAGCATCTTGTCTCCCGGCGTCGAATCCCGGTCCGGGCGGAATCCCGACCGCTACAGAACTCCGGCGGGAAACACGTCGGCGCGGAAACCGAGGCGGCTCGGCGAGCGGCACCTCCGCGTTTCCTCCTCTTCCCGCGAGCCGGTTAATCGGCGCTTCTCGCGAGAAAACACCCAGCCCGGGGCCCCGTCCTGTTAGCGTCCCGGTTGTCCATTCGATTGGGCGAGAGTAGATCGTTGGGTGGGCGGAGCTCGCCTCCGGACTCCAACTCCCAGCCTGCACCGCTTCAGACGGGCTTCCGGGGTGTGGGAGGGCCTGGGAGCCTGCGCGCCCCAGCTTCTTCCGACTTCTTCAGCTGCAGGGCGGGTGGTTGTCTTGGTGACCGCTCCCTAACGGTCTGGGGACCCCGAGGTACTTGTTGAGGGTTTTGCAACCTGAGCTGCTGCTGACTGAAGACGCCTTCGGTTGCTCCAAGTGTCCGAGGTGAGGCTGGTCTTAGCCTTGGGTGCGGAGTTACTGACGCTTGAGGGGTAGCTTCCAGGATCAGTTTCCCTTTCTGTGACGCCTGGTGCGAAAATGCATCAAGGTTAGACTTTATAACCTTAGCCGAAGAGGGAGGAGCCAGTGTCTGGTCCTTTGTAGCCCGCGCGAGGATTTGTCTTTAATTCAGCTCTCTTCCCCCGGTTCCCTTTAAAAAGGAAAGGGGCGGATCGTTCTGTCGCTCTTCCTGTCCCCCACCCCTCACACCTCCTTCCTCGCCGTGGCTTTCAGAAAAAGTGAAATATCTAAGTCTATGGATTTTTCTTTTTTTTACTTAAGTCGTGTAGTATTTGAACAAAGGGGTTACTAAAATTCTTGGGAGGGCTAAGATGTGCTATTTGAGTTTTTCCTCTCCTAACCTCTTTAGGTTTTGCAAGATACTTAAAAATGTTTTTGTCTCAGTGTGAGCCTGTTTTCAATTTTTCCAGTGATGCCTTGCCTGTAAAATAAACTTGACGTGCAAGCCCAGACAGTCTGGATGTCTCTCCTCTGCGCTTATCATTATCCTCTTCCTCCATACAAACCTTTCCCTGTGTGTACACAGATCCTTCCAGATTTAACTACTTCTGTGCAACCTCACACTGACGAAGCCAGAAGGCATTCTCTCCTTGAGTTTGGGGTACTTGGTATTAATGGGCTTTATCCTTTCTCTTCATTTTCCCGTTTTCTTCGAGTAATAGTCTTGCTCTGCTGGCATGGTCTAACAGGCCTGTAATCCCAGCAGGAGGCAGAGGCAGGCAGATCTCTGTGAATCTGAAGCCAGGCTGGTCTACGAAGCAAGTTCCAGGGACAGCCAGAGCTACACAGAGAAACCCTGTCTAGAAAAACAAAAGCAAACAAATAAAAATGAATTTTTGCCGGATATACATACATACATACATACATACATACATACATATATATATGGTCAAAGAGCAGAGTTCATGATAGGATTTAGTGAATCTACCTTTAACTTGAGCAGTAATTCCCAGCAGTGATCTAGCTTCGATTTGAGATCTTCCAGTTCCTAATGGTCTAAGCAGTCTTTAGGATCTCAGTAATGCACTATATGTCCTGTAGTAAATTTTCAGTGTACTTAAGATTATTTCTTTTTATTCTGCAGAAGATTGACCCAGAATAATAAAAATGTCTCGAAAAATTCCCAAGGACTCAAAAAAAGTAAACATCTCTAGTTCTCTGGAATCTGAAGATATTAGTTTGGAAACAACCATTCATACAGATGATGTTTCCTCCTCAGAAGAGCGAGAGGGTAAAGTCAAAATTACCAGGCAGTTAATTGAAAGAAAAGAAATACTTCATAATATTCAGTTACTGAAAATTGAGCTATCCCAAAAAAATATGATAATCGACAATTTGAAAATGGATTATCTTACAAAGGTAAGAACAGATGCAAACTTTGTTGTTTTACCTACCTTATTGTATTTAAACTGAAGATAAATGAGAAGTGTATGTATAGGCAAGGTGTGGTGGCACCTGCCTTTATTCCCAGACTCTGGAAGCAGAGGCAGGTGGATTAAGTTCTAGGCTGTCCTTGACCTTACATAGCCAGGACCATGTAAAGAGATCCTGTCTCAAAACAAACAAACAAAAAAAGGTATGTTTCATCAGAACTTAAACAATACACTTGACATTGCTTCTCCAGTACTGCCTTTTTACACTTTGCATATTAAAAGTAGGGTGTTTTAAATGTGAGTTTGGATGAGTTACTTTTGTAGCATTAGCATAATATTTATTTCCATAGGAGTAATTTGTAGCCAGCTTTTGCGCTTCACCAAATGTGATGTGACTGACTAGTTTGATAAGAAGAATCAAGATCATAATTGTATTGTTGACCCTGAATTGTCCTCTCTAGAAATCTGATTGCCTTGTTACTGACCTACACAGTTCCTATGTGTTGGAGAGTGGCTGTGTCTTAGGAGTCAGACGTAAGTGACCACTGTCTTTAGCAAGTGTGTCATAGAGATAAGGATGGCCTAGTTCTTTTGTTTTTGCCTTGTGTGGTTGTTTAGTCCCAGGATAGTTCATGGAATACCTGGTAGAGCTTAAACTAGTCCTAAGAAATAATGAGTGATTACAAGACACATTTGTTTAGTTTACTACTTTTGTTCCCAAGGAAAGTATTTCTTCCTGGCAGTGAACTATCTGACTTTATTCTTGTTCTTAGCTCTTCCGGCAGTAGCCTCTCTGTCCAGCAGTTTGTTTTGTTTCGCCTGTACTTTCTCTTGTTAACTTACTCTTCTATTTTAGTTCTATGCTATTCATCCTTCTACTAGAAAAAAAAATGTTTCTTTTGGGCCAGTAAGATGGTTTGGTGTGTAAAGATGCATAACCATGCAAGCCTGGGGTCCTGCGTGCCATCTCTGGGCTGCACAGTTAGAAGAGAGGACTAACTCCAGAAAGTTGCCCAGGTACACACACACTTGCACACACACATGCAACGTAGTAATGAAAGGGAAGAGCTGGAGAGATGGCTAAGCGGCTAACAGCACTGACTACTCTGACAGATGACCTGGGTTCAAGTCCCAGAGCCCACAGTTCCAGGGGATCCAATGCTGTTTTCTGGCCAGTGATAGAATGAGACATGAACATGGTACATATACATACACACAGGCAAAACATTCAAACACACACAGATTAAGTAAATCACGTGGTGCACGCCTTTAATCCCAGCACTCGGGAGGCAGAGGCAGGCAGATCTCTGTGAGTTCGAGGCCGGGCTGGACCGACAGCCTCAAAAACAATACAGAGAAACCCTGTCTCATAAAAACCAAAAAAAAAAAAAAAAGATTGATTTAAAGTTTTATTATTTGTTTATTTTAAAGGTGCTAGGGATCAAGCCCAGAGCTTTCAGCCTGCTACTCAAGTATCCTGCCCATGAGGAACCTAGAGTAATTTCTTAATGGTGCCTCTCTAGAAAAAGCCCAAAACGAGGTTAAATTCATCTGAAACAAGAAACAAGAAGGGAAAGGTAGGGGAAAGGAATGAATAGATAAAGGCAGGACCAAGTGTGTAGGGTTACAGAAAGAACTGCATGTTGGGGAACTGTAAGAGTTCTTTGGGCTAGAGCCATGTGTTTTTCAGTTAGTCTCAAAGGAAACTCGTTGTTGGCAAAGGTCTCTAAGTGTACTCTGCTACAGGTTAGAAGTTTTTACAAAGACAGTTACCTAACTGTGGTGGACATTTGTTAGCACATTTTAATGGTAAACTAAAGGGAGATGTGGAGGTTTATAACATCTCAGGAAAGAAAATTGATGGGGAACCTATAATGATCTAGGCAAGAGACTTGTTGTCTTTTTAACTCAGAAGCTACAGAGTTTAGCAGTTATTCATTTTGTTTTGGATGTTTCTGACGTCAGCCAGGTGCAGTAAGTGTAGATGGCATTACTCATGTTAACTAATAACTTAGCAGTATGAGTGGAGTGCTAAGCTCCAGTCTGAGTGAGCTTTACATTCAAATTAAGGGGAAAACCATCTTAGTGATAGCCTGGCACAAACATTTATATGACAGTAGTTTCAACCTGGAGTCTTTGAGGACTCTTCCTGTTTCTTCTAATTGTTTGTTGTTATGTTAACTGGAAGCTGAATGTGTAAACTGTATTCTCTCTGGTCAGATTGAAGAGCTGGAAGAAAAACTTAATGATGCCCTTCACCAGAAGCAGCTGCTAACTTTGAGATTAGACAATCAGTTGACTATTCAACAGAAAGATGCCAAGTAAGACGTGCTTTTCACAAAAGCCTAACATCTATTTATCAACTAAAAGTAATTTTACTCTTATTTATGCATGTTGTTATAGGCTATAATAGAGAAATTTTAAGTTAGATATGTTTACTGTCCTCACATTTAGACCACCAAAGGGAAGGTTGCTTTAAAACAAATGCACAGTTAAAATTCAACATTTATTCACCACATATTGGTCCTGTAAGCAACCCATGAATTACATAAGGAGCTTTCTGAATTGACTACAACTTGGTGTATAGAGAACCATTTTCTTCATTCATGGTATAAAACATTCTGCATTGTCACAGCTATTGGGGCTCGCTGACTTAGTATACAGTTACTATGCCTGTGTATTTTCTCCAGGTGCAATACCTAACAAAAGCGACCCTAGCCTGGTGTGGTGGCACACACCGATAGCCCCAGCACTTGGGAGATGGTGGGAGGTTGATCAAGAGTTCAAGGACTCCGGACAAGGTGGCCCATGCCCTTAATCCCAGCACTTGGTAGGCTGAAGCAGGCTGATCTCTGTGAGTTAGAGACCAGCCTGGTCTACAAAGCTAGTTCCAGAACATCCAGAGCTGCACAAGGGTACCATGTCTTGAAAAAAACAAACAAAAGTAAATACAAAGGGAGTTCAGAGTCATTCTCCATAGTGAATTGAAGGCCATTGTTTACTCGAAAATGTACCTATGCCAATTATACCTGTGTAATGTAAAGTGATATAAACAATGACATGTTAGTAGAAAAATATGCATTGTTTCTATAAAAACAAAAATAAATTCATTGGAAACACTCAATAAAAGTGAATGGCAAGGGTTGGAAAAGTGGGTCAGCAGTAAATAGTACTGGCTGCTCTTCCAGAGGTCCAGATTCAAATTCTAGCAACCACAGATTAGACTGTGGCACCTCACAATCTGATGCCCTCTTGTGGTCTGCAGGCATACATGCAGACAAAGCACCTGTATACATAAAAAGTAAAAGCATGGTAGCTCATTCCTTTAATACTAGCACTTGAGAGGCAAGGGCAGGCTGATCTCCGTGAGCTAAGTCTGGTCTACAGAGTAAGTTCCAGCCAACAACAGCTCTATAGTAAGACATGTCTGAAAATAAACAATCAAACAGATAATAAGTCAATAGAGGCAAGATAGGTTTAAAAACAAAGCAAAGACATCAATGAGCAGTGTCGTCTCAGATTCCTGTCGCTGTCTTCTAAGGTCTCCTCTCTAGGCTAGGAAAATGACTTAGAGTAAAATGTTTGCTGGAAGACCTGAGTTTGAATCACCAGTAAAAGCCAATGGTGGTGTGTTCCAAGAACCCCAGCACAGCAAGGGTAGAGGCAAGCAGATGCCTGGAGCTCACTGACCAGCAGTCTAGCCATGGTGACCTCTAGGTTCAGTACATCTCCTGTTTTTAAAAAGTACGGTGAAGAAACAGCTGAGAAAGACATTCTGACATCAGCCGCTGCCCTCCACACAGCTAGGATGGGGCAGTGGTTGACTTCAGTGGTTTAATGAGTGCCTTATGAGGTTCTGTATTAAAGAGATATGTCTTGCAGTACCAGAATCAAAGAGAAATGAAAAGTCCAACCCAATATATAAGGGTTTAAGACTTTAGCAGATTAAATTTATAATTTTTTATTTGAATTTGTTACTTCATAAGAATGTTGGTTCTCTAATAATTTGGAATTATATATTTACTAATCTGTGTGGGTTTGACACTTCTTGTTTAACTGATTAGATAAATCAGCAACAATGATAGCCAAGAATACTATATGGAACCCTGAGAAAAATCTCAGTGATGTTAAAGCTTGCCATAAATTCTCCCAATGTAGGAAATATCAAGAACTAATGAAACAAGAAATGGAAACCATTTTATTGAGACAGAAACAACTGGAAGAGACAAATCAGCAGCTAAGAGAGAAAGCTGGAGACGTCCGTCGTAACCTTCGAGACTTGGAGCTGACAGAAGAGCAGTATGTGAAGCTAAAGTCCTTCTCTGAAGACCAGCTTTCTATCCCTGAATACGTATCTGTAAGTGTGGAGTCGTCGGTGTGACACTCCAGAGTACATGCTGTCATTTCAGTCCTCAGGACGTGGAGACAGGGGGATGAGCTCCTATAGCTATGGAGTGAGTTGGAGGCCATCTTGTACAATAGGAGTCCCTGTGTCAAAAGAAAAAAAATACACATAAAGAAAAAAAACACATAAAGCTCCATCCATTCTCAGACTGATGTTTTCAAGTTTTAAGTTAGCATGCAAAGTAATGAGTTCCATTTTGATGCAGATATGACATTGTGCATTGTTTTCACTTATCTTCTCCCTGAGTCTCCCCTATGCCCTGTCTCCTGGTTGCTTTCCTCGCCGTGACTAGTCCCCTCTACTGCTGTCCTTTTACATGCCACAGGTACAGTCTATTTCCTCTTGACTTCCTTCCTAGGTTTATAGATATAATGTCTAATTAAATTAGGTTCCACATAGGAGAGAAAACGTAGTGTTTGTCTTCTGATTCTAGCTGGATAAAGGAAGGAGGCAGGAGAAGATGCATGAAGGATAAGAAAGCTTAGACAAAAGAAAGGAAAAGGTGGAGGACTGTTACAGGGGAAGAGAAGTAAGAGGTTAGAATAGAAAATAGATTTCTCAATTATAAAGGAGTTCAGAAACAAGAGTTAGGTAAGTTTATTTACTCCTTCACTTCTGAGACAGTCCCAATGGCCTGGGACAGTGAATCCCAGGCATCTGCTCACCCCACCTCCCCAGCATGGGATGATAATCGTTTACCACCATACCTAGCTTTGTTACATGGGTTCTGCGTATTGAGCTCAAGTCCTCCTGCTTCTTTCTGGGAGACATTTGATTTGACCAACTGCTCTCCCCGGCCCCTCACTTCCTACCAGTCAGTCCATCCTGTGTTTTTCTCTGCACCTTTCAAGTATCCCTTTATTTCCTTTATGGATTTCCAAACCCTTCCTCTCTATGGGTTAGTCTTGCTTGTCTTATTCTGACTGTTCTCCTCTGGGTCTTCCAGAGACAAATTCAACCCTATCTCAGCCCAAGGGTATTGCTTTTGAAACACCCAATTGATAGTATGTTTTGACCCTCATGAAAATAGAGAGTGCCTTTAAGACCAGAATTTCAGTGACTCCATAGTCTACCAGATGAGTTATTTTATGTTAGCTCTAATATTCTCCAAAGGAAAAATTGAGGCTAAACAAGATTAGTATTGTCTGGGATCAATTAGGAATATGGGGGAGACTGGAGGTTTTATGATTATTAAGGGGTAGAGATGGGGCAGAGTCTTGGTGATAGAATAGTTCAGAATCTGGTGTCCCTAAACAAACTTGTACTTAGACTTAAACTTTGGCATGAGTCTCAAGTCAGTTTAGTATCAACAACCCTTCTAGCCTACAGCCGATTTGTTTGTCTGGGCATATCCATTAATATTGCAATATTTAAAATTAAACTTAAGGAAATAATGTAAGCACAAGAAGGGCTGGGTACGGTGTGCTATAACAGTGCTTGTCTGAAGTCCCAGCTGCCTAGAAGGCAGAGGCAGGAAGATCTTTTGAACCTAAGGGTTCGAATGGTCAGCCTGAGGGATGAAGCAGGACTTTACCTAAAAACACAAGTAAATATGGACACAAAATAGATAGAACCTGTTTGCTTTAAAGGTTATAGTGTCATCACCCTACATCATATAGAGAATGGGAGAATGAGACTTGAATTGGACAAAATAATTCTTAATATTAGTGGGAAATGCTTTTCATTTTGTGAATTCTCTAAAATCGAAAACAGTGACAGGGCCAGGGCCAGAAGTCCCCAAAGCACACACTGATTTTGTTCAAAATGTTTTTTACTCTTGGCTTTTGGCCTTTGTTAGGGTGTTTTGAGGGCCCTGCCACCCAGCTCCCAAGTTGATCACACATGGAGACTTATTCTTAGTTATAAATGCCCAGCCTTAGCTTGGCTTGTTTCTAGCCAGCTTTTCTTACCTTCTTTAACTCTCTACCTTTTCCCTCTGGGCTTTTATCTTACTTTCCTTCTTACTCCATGGGTGGCTGGGTGGCTGGGTGGCTGGCCCCTGACGTCCTCCTCCTCTTGTTCTCTTGCTCTCCTCTTCCTCCTTGTTTCTTCTATTTATTCTCTCTACCTGTCAGTCCCTCATGTCCTTTCTCCTGCCTGGCTATTGGCTGTTCAGCTCTTTATTAGGACCACCAGGTGTTTTAGACAGGCACAGTAACACAGCTTCACAGAGTTAAACAAGTGCAGCGTAAACAAAAGTCACACACCTTAACATAATATTCTACCACACACTGACAGATGTTGCTTTTTTGTGTTAGGTATGATTTTACTGTAAGACCCTTCTGTTCTCACATTTATAAAGTAGCTAATACTGTATCTATCTTTCTGTTGTAAAGATAACAGTAGGTATGTAAAGCATGTTAAATGCTTAGCACAGTGCTCACTGCATCTTTGTAAACATGCAGTTCTCCCTATTGTCTGCTGTAGTGGTAGTTTTTGGGTCTCAGTGGCTCAAGCTTTCTGAATCAGCAACTTCAAAGGAAATCAGACATTAGCTTTCTGTTGAACTTCTGATTTAAGTGGGGCATTAGATAGTACATACGTAGTATATACATTTTTGCTTTCTGGTTTTACTACTCTTTCACATCTTCGAATGAAATAGTATTCTAACTGACTGATGTAGATTTTACTGCCTTAAGGACCAACCTTCACACTTGGCCTCTTGCTAAACAGGGTATTTTTGCATACAGTCATATGCTAAGGACTTGGGATTGTATGCCTATGTAATAAGTAATCCCTATTGCTCTCTCCTGGCTCACTGATGGCTTCTTGGCTTCTTAGAAGCCTGTAGATTGGAGTACTTGGGTTACAACAGGAAAATGAAGAGTGGAAAGAGAGGTCTAAATTGAGTGGAAATAGTGATAGAAGAGTTACCTTCTGATTCACCTCCCTAACACTGCAGGGGAAGCCACATTGTAGAATGCTGCCAAGAGCAAAGAATAAAATGTATCTCTTCACCAAACTGATACTCAGCTGACAGAGCATTCTATAAAGCAGATAAAAGTCCCTGTCCTTACAGAGCATAATTATCTTAGTGTGGAAGCTAACAGACAGCAACTTAAAATACAGTATGTGGAAAGTCTTCCAAGTCTTCAGAGAAAGCCAGCAGGGATGGAGAATAAGGAATTCAGTTAACTTTGTAGGTTATTTCGTTATTTAAATTCAAGTTCACTTATAATTGATGTATCTGTGGGAAATATATTCCAAGTCTACTAGTGGATAGTATGAATCCTTGGCAGCATATTGTGTTTCCTATATATATATATATGTGGTGTATTTTATATAAGATTTTGGTAACAGAGCTAACAAAAACAATTATAGCAATATACCTTGTTTTTTTCCACAGTTGAATGAGAGAGAGTAAGACAATGGCAGAAAGTGAAAGCGCCCCCCCCCCCTCCCGCGCAGCCCACTGCACTGCAAGTGGCAATGGCTAATTGCTGTTTGGACTCAGGATTGCTAACCTTTCCTTCTTTCCTTTTTGTTTTAAAGATCCGGCTCTATGAGCTAGTAAATCCATTAAGAAAGGAAATCTACGAACTACAAGTGAAAAGGGATGAACTCTGTGAAGAACTAAGCACAAACAGAGGCCAGCTGAGGCAGCTGACAGAGGTTGGTTTCATTTCTATTACTCTTGGAGAGACATTGTAACTTTTCCACAGGGCGGTGCTTGCTACCATTTGTGGTGAGGAGCATGGAAGTGAGACACAAAGGAGCCCAGGATGCGGACTGTTGCGCTGCAGCCCTTAAGCCATAAGCAGGACCTGACAGGATGAATATGCTTTTAACCTGTAATCCACAGCGTAGCATTTGCTGTTGTAACTCATTTTCATAATCAAATGCTTTTGAGATCATAAAACCAGCCATATCTGAATGTTCTAGTGCAATAAATATGCACACAGAAGCTTATCGTTTCTCTAGCTTTAATACATAAAACGTAGGCTGGGTATGGATGCCATTAGCAGGAAGAAAAAGAATGACTTTCTTTTTAATTGGAGACTCATGCATTCTGCTTTGGTAGGACAGTCCCCATTACTGCTGACATGTAAGTATTAATAGCAGCCCATGCATTGTTAGAAGCATCTTAATCTGGTCGATGAATTATAAGATCATCATGCTTACAACTCTTCATTTACAGAAGGGTGCACTGATCATTAGTCTGATTATAACATTGACCAAATATCCCAGAATGCCTTCATGTACTTATAACCAGCTAAAAAATAGTGATGGGTTGATTCATTGTATTCTGTAACAGCCAATGGAGGGGGGGGAGTGCTACTGTCAATGTGTCATTCATTCCTCATCAAATGCAATTTATTCTACTGAACAGTACTGAACTAGTGTTTACCCTGTATGTCATTAATGTCCATGAGGCTGTTCTAATTGCCAGCAACAGTGAGAGACAATAACTGCCCTCAGAGAGGTTAAATTCTAGTACACTGGATTTAAGTGTCAGATTTGAACATTCTTATTTATTCTGTGATCTTGACCAAGTCATTTAACGTATCTTTTCAAATGAAAAATAGTTTCCACTTTTCTTTCATTGGATAACCCATGTTTGTATTTGATAGTAAAATGTTATCTTCACAAGTTTTATACAAATATGTATGTGATGTCCTATTTCAAGGGCAGGCTTTTCAACTCTCTATTACCCAAAAGCAAGTCATTATATTTAGTATATATTTTCAGTACTATACTTTTGACAGTTTGAGCAGAAAGGAAGGGTCTAGTGCAGTCCCAGGCTGATCTCTATGTCCTGCTGCATAAATATGTGGCATCTTCAGCAAAGTAAGGTATCTTACCATCTAGCTCTGCTGACCAGCAACAGTCGTGGCAATTGTGGAGGTAGCGCTGGGATTGTTTAGTAACCGGTGGCTTCTGGATGCAGCTTTATCCATCCATATGTGGTGCCTCCAATCAAAGTCATTCTGTTGCTTTTAATTTTTTGATTACTTTATCAAGTATCAGGTTTCCATATGGCAATTTCCCATATCATTTTTTGTTGACCCTCCCCCCTTACATGTTTCTAACTCTTGTACTCCTTTAATCCCCCTTCTCCTTCCACATTACCTTCTTTCTACTCCTGCCCTCATGGTCCCTTTCTACTTTCCATGCCATAACATATATATATGTTAGAAGCCAGTATTTGCACATGAAAGAAAACACAGTACGAGTTACCTCAGTTAATAGTTTCCAGTACCACTCATTTTCCTGTAAATGTCATTATGTGTTTATTCCACACTTTACTATCCAGCCATGAGTTGATTGATAGCGAGGCTGATTCCATGTTCTCATTACTGTGAATAGATCACAAATACACTCGTATGTGCAAGTGTCTCTGTGGTAAGGTACACAATACTTTTGGCATGTGTCTAGGTAAGGTGGAAGTTCTATTTTTAACTGGTTTCCAAAGTGCGGCACCAGCCTGCATTCCCAACAACAATGAATATGGGTCCCCCTTCCTCTACATCCTCATCAGCATTGGATGCCACTTTTCTTCTTGACGATGACCATTCTAACTGGGGTAAGATGGAATCGCAAAGTAATTTTAATTTTATTTCCAGGATTGCTAAGGATGTTGAGCAAAAGTACGTATTGTCCAATAGTAGTAATTTTATTAGTAAAACAAGATAATTTATACCTGTCCTCATTTTTTTTTCTGTTGTTGTGATAAACACTATGACCTAAGCAACTTGGGGAGGAAAGGGTTTATTCGTCTTGTGCAGTTTCCTCATCTCAGGAAACTAGGGCAGACGCTCAGGCGAGAACCTGGAGGCAGGAACTGGAGCAGAAACTATGGAGCAGTACTGCTTACTGGCTTGCTGGCTCCGAGGTTATAGTCATCCCACTGTCTTATGTAGACCCGATCCACCTGCCGAGAGATGGCACTGCAAGCTGGACTGGAACCTCACATCAATTAACAATCCAGAACATGCCCCACAGGCCAATCTAATGGGGGCAGCTCCTCAGCTGAAATTCCTTCATCCAAACTGTCAAGCCGACAACCATGATTAGCCATCACAATATCCTGTTAGTTAGAATTCGAATTATGTGATTTTTAAACCAAAAAAATGAGATGTAATGTAAAAATCAAGTGAGATTATCAACAAGTACAGACTGGAGAGAATATTGTGGTCTTTAAGGGAAGGTGTTAAGATCTGGCTCACTGGAGAGTCTGCTGGAGATGGTGGGTTCTGGGATTGAATTAGTAATGAAAATCATTGTCTTTAGTACTTAAGTAGTCATCAGCGCCTAGTTTAAACAATACTAAATGAAGTGATCAGTTTTCAGTTGGATGTTCCTGATGTTTTTTCTTGAAATGTTTTCATTTTGGTGCTTTGGTGGCATTTCATATTCTTCTCTTCAGTATTAGGATATTATACACAGAGGTATACAATGAAAACACAGAATTGCCCATCAAATACAAATGGAATAGCAAAATCTTTACTTTTCTAGAGATGGATCATTTAAAATGTCTTTACCACCACAAAAGTAAATATTCCTTTTTACTTTTTTGAGACAAAGTGTAGTTTTCTTCCTTAAGTAATTCAGGAAAGAAGCAAGCCTTTGCTCATCTGTTTCAAGGGTTTAGCCCCCTGTAATGGAAAGATAGATTAACAAAAGAAGAGCACCACAAGCTCGTTTAACATCAATTTAATGGAACATCAGAATGAAGGTCTGTAAAAAAACTGCATTTGCATGGACAGTCATGAAAGTAATAGAGGACAAGGGCTGTGATTTAATGGCAGTAACCTGGGCAGGGGAGGGGTGGAGTGGGGGACACCTGGCCAGGCTGTTTGTTCAGATTCTTGACTGCTATTTAGATATACCCTGACTTGGGCATCTCGGAAGGAGTCGAGGAAAGAGTCAGAGAGTGATTGCCTAGGTCCTGCGGCCTGCTGGTCCTAGTGACTTCCTAGGTCCTGCGGCCTGCTGGTCCTAGTGACTTCCTAGGTCCTGCGGCCTGCTGGTTCTAGTGCTTCCTAGGTCCTGTAGCCTGCTGGTCCTAGTACTTCCTAGGTCCTAGGACCTGCTTCTAGACAGAGGGTACAAGGCAGAGATCTTACTGCTTATCTACTTTTCTTGAAAGGTGTCCTTCAGCTTCAAATAGTCTGTATTGCTACACATAATACTCCAAGTTGCCATACAACAGGCAAAGAAATAGATTTTTGTTTTTTGGTTTTTTTTTAATCTTTGGGGTTTTTTTTTTTTTTTTTTTTTTTTTTTTGGTTTTGGTTTTGGTTTTCCCTAGCGAACAGGGGCTCACTGATGGTAGGCTTTTCTGTTTTCCTGAGTTTGATGAGTGTGAGGAAAAGGTAGTACCACTTTGTTCAACAGCGAGATACATTACTTTGCTAAATCTTGAGACAAGACTGGCTGTTAACAGCTAAAACCATAATAAACTGAATATTAGTAAGATGTGATCCAGAAAATTCATATTACATTATTTGAATGATCTCTTCATGCAGTCATTTAGTAACTATTTCAGAGTTTAACTTATTCATACTTAAAGTTAGGTGTTCAAAGGGGACTGATGTGGATCTTATAAATGACTGATTGAAAATTCAATAAAACATGAACTTTGAGAAGTGTAATGACTACATGACCTAAGAATTTTAAAATATGTCAATGGTGAACGTAAAACTTAAGTACCTGGGTAATGTCAATATTAATGGAACGATGAGAGTGGGGCTAACTTGAGAGGACTAACAAACTGCCTGCCTGACACGAGAGACCCCAGGAGCTGTAACGAGTAAACCAAGTCTTATCTGAGCTTACGTACGGGGTGAGAATTAGGGTTAGTGAATAGTGTAAGCCTCTGGAGAATGCCACCAGTTATTTAAGTGAGTGTGTTGTGAGATTCACTTAAGCAATATGTGTGTATAAAAAATACAGAGTGTGATATATACATTTTTCAAAAAGCCAGTGATAGGGTTCCAAATTTTTCACTAAATGTTGACACTTTTAAAACTTGTAGTAAAGATGCATTTCACATTGACCCAGCCATGCTAGCCATTTTGAAGTGTTCAAGCATACCTCCAGAATTTTTCCATGCTATAACACTGAAGCTCCAAACTCCGTGAACAGACAAATCTACCTTCACTCTCCCTGTCCCCAAGAACCACGTTGTTTCTGTGGTTTTGATGACTTTAGATACTGCATAAGAATGGAATTATGCAGCATTAGTATTTATTTCACTTAGATACAGTCAGATTCAACCATGTTTTGATATACTTTCCTTTTTGAAGGTCCTTACTGTTATGTGCATGTGACATGTTTCTTTATTCACCTACAGTGGGCATCTGGGTTGATTAAATCTCTACAATATTTGACAGATGTTTGAAAAGAACTGCTGTCTTGATTTCTGGGGGAATTGCTTTTCTCCTTAGCAGTTGAAGGATAAGAACAAAATATACGAAAGCAAAGTATCTCAATGAAAATAGAAGCATTCTCTAGAGATAACTGTTGTCTAGAATTATTTAATATTTCATTCTTTAATCTATTATACTGATGAGGAAGAACAAATTACGGCTTCAAGCTTGCTACTGGCAAGGTTTGTCTGAGGATGAAGTACCAAACTAGTGAGGGAAGTTGGGCTATTTCAGATTATG